TTTGATTGAAAGTTTTTATGTTCTTATGCTCACCTATTTATTTGATAAAAAATACAGTAAAAGTAGTAATATTGTGAAATATTATAACAATTTGAAATAACTGATTTCTTTTTGTATATATTTTAAAACGTAATTTCTGTGATGGAATATATATGTATACACACACACAACCATTCAAAAGTTTGGTGATTTTTTTTATGTTTTTGAAAGTTTTTATGTTCTTATGCTCACCTATTTATTTGATAAAAAATACAGTAAAAGTAGTAATATTGTGAAATATTATAACAATTTGAAATAACTGATTTCTTTTTGTATATATTTTAAAACGTAATTTATTTCTGTGATGGCAAAGCTGAATTTTCATCAGCCATTACTCCAGCCTTCAGTGTCACATGATTCTTCATAAATCATTCTAATATGCTGAATTGCTGCTAATCTATTATTATTATTATTATTGTTGTTGTTATTATTTTCAATGTTGAAAACAGTTGTGCTCATTCATATTTTTTTGTGGAGACCTTGATGCATTTTTTTGGGATTCTTTGATGAATACAAAGATCATAAGAGCAGCATTTATTTAGATAAAACATTTGTAATGTTAAAAAATATTTCTATGTTTTTTCTGTCATTTTTAATCAATTTAATGCATTCTTCCAAATAAAAATATTAATTTTATTATATATATATATATATATATATATACACATACATACATTTTTTATTTTATATTCTTTGCAATGATATTTTCATGTGTAAATTATAAGCATTTTCATTAATGATTTCAACCTTTCAACCTTTCAACATTAACGCTAATGGGGGAATTTAGGCTTTTATTAATATAAAATGCCTCAGTTTAAGTCGTTTTTGCATGAATCCGGTTTGGATGAATACATTGAACTCTCTGCATTGTCTTCAGTCTTGGTACATGTTTCTTCTTCCATCTGTTCATTTACATTGTGCAAATTAAAAAAGAGGCGAACAGACTTTTTAAACAAATGCACAAACACAAAATAGCCAAAACGCGTCCCCAAAGATGGAAAAGACAGATAGAAGTCCTCAGTGGACATGTCTCACATTGTGGCTTCAGCAAGATGACAGTCAAGAGAAGTGGAAGTACAAAAACACATATCACTGATGCAGCACAGGTGCCAGGCAATCTGCCCCAGCCAGTCTAACTTCACTGGGCATTTGAACACAACCCTGACTGTTTAATCATGGCTGATTATCTTACTATATTTGCCAGCATTTAGAAATAGCATTTAAATGATCTCATTACACTAATTGACTTATTTCAGTCCACAAAAAGTTGGCCCATATGTCTGTGTGAGCTTCAGCATTCTGTTGCTTTCTTTCCTCTTTGGAATGTGTCGGGCCTGGGGGAGATTCACATTCAGGCGGTTTATCAAATCCATCTGTTTCAATTTAAATATCAGAAGGCCTTGTTCTGTCAAGCGACAGCAGGGTAACAGGGTGCGCGAGGATTTCAGCGATCAGAGGGGAACTGTAAGGCTGTAAAACCACTGCTTATTTACAGCACATACAGATATTTACACCAGGATGCAACGTTTTCACAACAAACACAAAATCGTCAATGAATCAAACCTTATGGCGAAATTAGTGATACTAAAAAGCGGTAAACCACATCAAATAGCAGCAGATCACATAGTATATGAAACCACATAATTCAACACAATTCAAAAACAGTAGTGCTAGGAGGTCAGAAAAGCATCACTCATCTTGACTCCGCCAATTTATGTCTGATGCCAGATTTGACACTTAGTAAAATCAAAACTTATCACTGGACAGAATAAAATTACACTACAGTTAAAAAAGATTTTTCATGTTTTTGAAAGTCTCTTATGGTCACCGAGGCTGCTTTTATTTGAACAAAAATACAGTCAAATATTGTGAAATTATGATTTTTATTTTAATATATTTTACATTTTAATTTATTTAATTTATTTTCAGCGGTCATTAAGCCAGTCTTCAGTGTCACTTGATTATTCAGAAATCATCCTAATATGCTGATTTGCTGCTCAAGAAACATTTCTTAGTATTATCAGTGTTGAAAACAGATAAAAAAACAACAACTTTTATTTGAAATAGAAATATTGTGTAACATTATAAATGTGTCATTTTTAATTAATTTAATGTATCCATAATAAAGGAATAATAATAAATAAAACAAAATACTGTCTCCAAGCCAATTAGACTATCCATTTGTTGTCTAAAAAATATCAGTCAGTGTCACAAATGATTACTTTGCATTCAAAATAATGTAAAAGCTTTGCCTTGATAAATCAAGAAAGAATATTTTGTGACTAAAACACTATTTGTGACCACAAAACCAGTCATAAGGGTCAGTTTTTCGAAATTGGGATTTATACATCACTGGATAAAACTGGATAAATAAGCCCATACAATGTATTTTTGGCTATTGCTACAAATATACCCCAGCGACTTAAGACTGGTTTTGTGGTCCAGGGTCACATATTTGGAAGAAATAAGGGTTTCACTTGCTGAAGGTAACCTTATGCTTGACCAGTAGCCGGTGGATAGTGACCTACTGCAAGTAAACCTGATTGGATGCCAAATCCTCTGTTTATGCTGTAACGGGGCTGTGCATCTTACACTGAAAGAGCTCTCAGACTTTTAGAGCCCACTCTATTTATGTCTACATAAAATGCAAAAATGTTTGTGTCAAATGTACCTTTTACGATTTTACAACTTCCTGAACACAACACACACCTGGAGGGAGAAAGAGATAAAGTATGAGAGTGTGTTATGCAAATGAGGTCATGTGGAATGTAAGTGGAAATGGGGGGTTACAACCACAAAACAGTTGCTGTGAATTTGGTGCATTGCCAAATGTAGAGCAATACAGAGAGAATCTTGCATATGAATCTTACCACTTGTTGCTCAGTGACAACCGGATGTAAATATGGAAATGAGTCTCATTTTTACACTAGTCTGTATATAGTGTGGCTTTTTTGTTCTTTTGAAGGAAGTGCCATTCTTTCATTTGCTGAGAGGTGTGGAGTGGTTGCTTCTGTTCTGACAGCTGCAAACAGAAGCTAGCATTGTCTCTGCAGAGACACACTTCCTCGCAATGAAGTTTGACTGTGGCTGGAGGAGCCACGTTTCAAACGGAAAAAAGATACCTCCAAACCACATCGCAGCCTTTGTCTTTCTCTCTTTCTCTTCCCCTTTCTAGTATGATTATTGGCATAATTATGCAAAAGAGGCATAACTATGCCAATGCATGGCCTGAAGCAATGACATGCACGGCTGCACCTCGCGACCCGAGGTCAAGTCCCAGCTCCAGGTCCTCTGCTGATCCTCTTCCGCTCTCTCTCCTCAGTGTTGTTTCCTCTCTTGTCTATACTGTTCTGTTCAATAAAAGCCGAAAATACAGTAACATACAGTAACACGAATGAATGAATTGACAAAACATTATACAAACATGCAAATGGGTGTTTATTCCCGGGTTATTATTTTAAACTAAAACTAAAACTGTTAAAGACATTTTTTGTTATTTGAAATAGAGCCGAAATAAAATATTTAAATAAAATAAAATTTTAATATTAGATGAAAAACCTAAACTAAATTAAATTTAGAAATATTGCCCTGGTAGCTAACTGAAGTTGAAATACTAAAATAACACTTACTTGAATAAATGAAGCTGAACTAAAACTGTGGGAGAAAAAAAACAAAAACAAAATTATATTTAAAATACTAATAAATAAATAAAGAATAAACAAACACACAACAAAATAAAAAAAAAATGAAATAAAATAAAATGAAAACTGCAAACTTTTTTTTTTTTATCATGCCTTCAACAGGTTTTTGGTAAATTTTTGCTACATGCTTTTAACAATATTTATAGATTGTATTGTTTATCTTTGTTCCAGACCAACACTTTCAATTGTTTTTCATTTATTTTTTTAAAATATATGAAAAAAATTCAGCATTACATTTAGATAATCATCTAAACAGACATATGAAATAATCATACAATATTTAATAGTATTTAAATATTGCAGTGACAGGATATTTTATTGTGTATAATTCCAAATCAAACTTGCTATGGTAAATTAAAATAATATTTACATCATTTTTAATATATAAATAAATATTTAAATGTATGAATAAATCTTTTAATATCTATTTAATTGTATTTTGGATACCAAACATTGAGATTCCGCTATTTAATGTAAAAATTGTAAATGTCCTGAAAGCGTTTGACAAAAATTAAACACCCAAATATTATTATTATTAGTTTTTATTCTGAAGGATAATAATAATAGGAAATATTTCAGCGTAATTTTAACTACTGCTATACAGAATTTGAGAAACATCCAAATTTGCATTAAATTTAAGCAAAGCCTGAATTAATAGCCCACTGCTATGGGTCGACTGTTTTTGGACTGAATGACATGTGCAGAAAAATCTCTTTCTGACACTTCACCTCAGGAAATTAATAGAGTTTCATCACCTATGTCTGCTTCATGCAGAAAAACATCTGCATGGCGAGCCCTTTAATAGACAATCCCTCTGGAGCAGCAGCAGAATCCTGCGCCACACGGTTCACCCTGCAGTTCAGCAGTAACGAATGGGGTGTTGACCTTTCCTAACCGAGAACATCTAATAAGATGCTTGTTTCTCAGCAGTGCATGTGCTAAATCTGTACACTTGTGTGAAAAACCAATTATATTGCGTACATGTTGCATCAAAAGAAATCTGCTTTGAATTATTGTACATATGTGAGAATGACCTCTGATACGTTCCATCTGCTTCCAAAAAGAGTTGAATCAGTATATTCATTCACAGAGAAAATGCTTTAAATATTATATAATTTATTACATAGTTATACATTTTTATGATTCTAGAACCCCATTTGTGTTTACCCATCAGATGTAGTTCCTAATACAGTTTTTAAAAATGTTTTGAAAGATATAACCGCAAAGACACTCATAAGCCTTCAGTAGGCCACAAGTGTGCTGAATCCACGGTTATTTTTCATCTGAAAAAGTGTCAAGTGGTTGATCTATGTTGTGTTCTTTTGGCACACTGTTTATGTAAAGCTTTTCCTTTCTGTTGTCTTCAGCAATGAAAGACTTTAAGGTGACGGTGAGGCGTACAGAGGCTTCTGAGAGATGCAGCCTGAAAGGAACAGTGCTGTTACGGACTGATTTTGATAGCCTCCTTCTGAAGGAACCGAAGACGGGAGAGGTTCTCTACTCCTGGCCCTACCGCTTCCTCCGCAGGTTCGGACGAGACAAGGTATGGCTTTGACCGTGATCTGCAGTCATTCAGTTAATGCTAGTGAGGTGTGTGCTCTCTGTCATTCCTAAAGCCCCAGTAGAGTGATGGGGATATTGAACTGTAAAAAGACGTTGTCATTTGAATGAGATGTTATTGTCAGAAAGAATGTTGCCACTAAAAGTTTAGGAATGCCCAAGGCAAAGTTATCAGTATCAGCAGCAAACAGTATCAGCATAAATAATTTTGTTAGGACTTTGCACTGATAAACTCATACTATGAAAACATTTTACTCAATTAAAAAAAATAAAAAAAATAATAAACCAGCCTAAGCTTTACAGCTGGTCTCCTAGCCTGGTTTTGTCCTGGCAGGCACTTTTATTGTGGTCAGACTGTTAAAAGTTTAAATAAAAGATTTGTATCATAAATAAATGTTGTTCCTTTTAGAATCCTGCAAAAATGTATCATGGTTTTCACATAAATGTTAAATATTACACCTGTTTTCAACATTGATGATATACATTTATTTCTAAAGGATCATGTGACATTTAAAACTGGAGTAATGCAGCTTTGCCATCACAGGGATAAATGTGACCCTGGACCACAAAACAAGTCATAAGTAGCGCGTAGCAATAGACAACAATACATTGTGTGGGTCAAAATTATGATTTTTCTTTTATGCCAAAAATCATTAGGATATTAAGTAAAGATCATGTTCCATGAAGATATTTTGTAAATTTCCTACCGTAAATATATCAAAACTTAATTTTTGTTTAGTAATACGCATTGCTGAGGACTTCATTTGGACAACTTTAAAGGTGATTTTCCTCATTATTTTGATTGTTTTTTATTTTTTTTTTATTTCAAATAGTTGTATCTCAGCCAAATATTTTCCTATCATAACAAATCATACATCAATGGAAAGCTTCAGATTATGTATAAATCTAAATTTTAAAAAATTGTCCCTTATGACTGGTTTTGTGGCCCAGGGTCACAAATGACATTTTAAAATATATTAAATAGGGGAAAAAAAATAAAAAAAATATATATATATTTTGTAATACTATTTCTCATTATTACTAGCTGGGCTTCCAAATTTTTTTGCAAAAAAAGAAAAAAAAAAGAAGCAAATTAGGTATGTTTCCATTAAGTTGTTTGAGCAGTTGACGGTGGTATTGGTAACCTAGTAATTAACAGTAAATACTGTAAAAAAAAAAAGGAAAGACACCATCAGTGGAAACAGACGATTAGTTACATGGCTTTAATGTTCGCTACGTCAGAATTTATTCGGCAAATGCATTTCCATCTGCCATTATTTACATTAACTCTTTTTTTGCACAAGTCAAAAACCACCTCAAGTGAGTGTAAAAACTTTTTTCAGAATTATGGAAATTTCTTTTTTTCGAAATTAGGTGTTTCCATCACTTGTTTCTGATGCGATCCTTCAAAATGTGCAGAAAAACAGGGTGAGGCTTAGCTACCATTTTACCGTGTTTTCAATCAAATAAATTTAGCCTAGGTGAGAATAGGAGACATTTTTCAAAAACATTTACAAAATCGTACTGACCCCAAACTTTCGGATGGTATTGTACATGCATTGTTTTTGAAGATTAAATTGAAATTTTGTGTCTTGGCGTCTTTTTACTACTTACTACTAATTAAATGTATAATTTCTCAACAAACAGGCAACATTCTCCTTTGAGGCTGGGCGAAGATGCGACTCGGGGGAAGGCAACTTTGAGTTCGACACAAAGCAAGGAAACAGCATCTTCCAATCTGTAGAGGCCGCCATCAATCTACACAGAGTCAATTTACCTCAGAAGCAGATATCAAGTGGGGAGCGAGATACCATGCCCCTTTCACCTCAAATGAGAGCTGTGGCAGAGGATGCAGGTATCTACAGTGTGGTGACTGACGGAGCAATCAGAGACGGACCTAAACAACCACAGAACCCTCAGCAAACCAGACTTGAAGCCCCTGCAGAGAAACTTCTGACCGGAGTCAAGAGCCTGACCCTGGACACCAGGCCTCCGCCGCGAAAGAGCCAGGTCAAGAACTTCCGCAGCTGTCCTTTGGTCAACAGTGAGGATGAGATGTATTCCCGGGCCATGGCCCCTGATCCAGATCGGGGAAGTCCAGGGGAGAAGAGAGAACCAAAAGAACGACGTTCCACATGCTCCAACCCCGAGGACTCTGACTACTCGCTGCCCTTTGACACCATTGCCAAGAACGTTCTGGGAGACATTTTGTCTGCATCAAACCCTCCACCCATGTTCGTAGAACCCAGTTGTGAAAATGACAAGAAAGGCAATATAGAAAACACAGAACCACTTTATGACATTATAGATGAAACTGCAATCAGAACCCGTTTCGCAAACAGAAAAACACATTCTTACAAACGAGTGGAGCACATTTATGATGAACCAGAGGGTTGTGGTGTGGCCCCAAGTGTGCCTCCATCGCTCTATGATGAACCGGAGGAGGTCAAAGGTCATGCTTGGAAGATGTTGGGTACAGTAATGGATCCGAGCGGTCACGAGTACCCATACAATGCTTCTGCCGACGACTATGCGGTTCCTAAACCTCCCAGGAGGGCCTTGCTTTCAAAGCAGAAGGACAATGAGGAAGAGGACAGTTCACCCTATGATAACATTATGGTGAAAGGAGTGCAAAAGAATAACTAAGGACTGCTTCAGAATCTAAAGAGGACAATGAAGTTGTGTGCGAATGAATGAATGAATGAAATATTTAATCAATTAATATGCATAATATGGATAATAGTCATCAGAGTGCTTTACTGTTCTTCAAAAAGCTGTGATCTGCAACACGTATCATGATGTTGGTCAATATGATTAACAGTTCAATTCCTCTCTGGGGGTGAATCATTGTAGCCTAACTTTAACCAAATGCGCTAAAATTGCACTGTAATGCGAATGTTTAAATTGTCATTATTTGAATCACAGACACACACTTTTTATGTAAATTAGGCTTGTTTTAGTTATTAACATTGCGCTATATTGATCATGTGAACGTTTATTCTTCAAATGATGGTAAAGTGTGAAATAATCGCTGTTTATTCAAACGAGCACACTTTTGGCTGTTTAAGTGCACCCGTAATCCATAATCATCTAAATGCACTAAAATAGCCATACGCAGTGAATATTCTTTGTGCAAACACTCCTCTTTTTGTGTAAATTAGGCTAATTATAGACGACACCTTATTCACAACATGCATTGCTATTTTCCAGCGCAATTAACATTGCATTATCTTGATCAGGTGAACATTTATTTGTAAAAACTTTATTTATATAGAGCACACTTTTGGATTTTTAAAGAACGCCTGTAATCCAGTTGAACCAGTAAAAACTAAACTAAACTAAACCAATAATTAAATATGTAAAAGTAGCGATGCGCAGTGAATGTTATGTTTTAAAGTGCCTCATTTTATTGCCTCTTTTTATGTAAATTAGGCTCATTATAGACTGCACCTTCTTCACAACTTGCATCGCTATTTGCCATTGCGATTATCGTTGCATTATATTTATCATGAATATTTATTCATAAAGTGTTATTTATTTAGATGAGAACCACCCACAAACCAGTTTATTTAATATAATAAGACTGTGCGGTCTTGTGACTGTTTAAATCTTTTTATGTAAATTAGGCTCATGATAGATTGCACATTATTCACAACACGCAAAGCTATTTGTCGGAGCATTTAACGTTGTGCTGTATTGATCGAGAACATATATTTGTCAAAAGTTGGTAAAGTGTGAAATAACTGGGCATTTATTCACACTTTTAGTTTTTTTTAATGAGCACCCAAAATTTTGTTAAACCAGTTGCTAAATGCAGTAGCGATGCGCAGAATATTATTTATGTGATGTGCAAACACATCTTTTATGTAAATTAGACTGCACCGTATTCACAACTTGTATTGCTCTTTGCCATTGCGATCTTCGTCGCGTTATATTAGTCGTGAATATTTATTCATCAAATTTAATTTCTTTAGACAATCCCACTTTTGGCTTTTTGATGATCACCTGCAATCCAATTTAACAAGTAGCTAAATGTGCTAAAATAGCAATGCGCAGTTAATAAAAAAAAATTTGAGCTCAAGTGTGCTTATTTTACGTCATTTAGGCTCATTATTGACTACCTTTTTAACTAATTTGCCAGTGCTGTTAAGATTGCATTACTTAACCAGTTTAGTTTAGCCAGTCGCTAATTGCACTAAAGTAGCGATGCGCAGTAAATATTCTTTTTTTTTTAAATTCATCTCTCCTTACTATGTAAATTAGGTTCATTATAGATAACGTTTTATTCACAAAACTTTCACATTTTAAAGGAACAATTGAGGTGTCTAAATCTGTGAAGTATAGCAGAATGTTGTAGTCCGCTGTATTCACCACAACAGTGCTTAGAACCAATCCTTAAGACCTGCATTTGCGTTCAGCCCACATTCTGTGGACGTGTTTGCACTGTTAACTGATTTGCATAACCACAACTGGTAAAACAGCGCTATCAGCAGGCACGGTGCATTCTTAGTGAATTCCCCATTAAGTGTCCTAATAGCACACGAGCGTACTATGACCTTCACTATCCACAAAGGTGAAGTTGATTTTATCCGGTTGTAAATCAAAGAGTAATTTAGCTTCGGTTGAACACGGGGCTCTAATAGCCCTTCTTCTCTGTCTTTTTCTGGACTGTGATGAGAGCTCACACAGGTAATTAAAGTCCTGCAGATCTCTCCCAAAATGGACTTGCGCCCATCACCTAATCCTCTGCTCGCTAATGATGGACAAGGGAGTTCCGTCAAGTGTCATTGTACTATTCAGGCCAGACTCTGACTTTCCATCTCACAGGCTTCCTATTTTGAGGAACACATGAATAATAATAACTTGACTTGCAGAGGGAAACTGGGGCACTGTTAGGATGCTGCTGGGCTCCCTGCCTGCCACGGTTCATGAGCCCCACAGTCTTGAGACTTTTAAATGTCTGAAAACACTTTACAGCTCTTATCAATTCAGTTTCTTTCCTCTTTCAGAGCATTCCAGAAATATGAACTGCATCGCACATGATATGAATGGTTTTTGATGTATTTTACTGTACATTGACCATGTTTTAAATGCACACAGCATATTTTTATTGTTGTAATTAGACTGGATATAGTTCAAAGCATACGTGAGGGCAATTTAAAGCTATCTGCTGCCATCAGACTGAAGAGAGATTTGGTGGCAATCTGCTACTGGAACATTTTAGCATAGTTTTGCAACTCATTAACGGAGTAAACTGGTACAGACTTAAGATGTCATTACAGTACACACTGATGCACTTATTCCAGCTTTGGGAGTCTGGTGTGAGATGAGCTCTGCATAAATGCTGAAAAAGTTGAAAGCTTTGCTAAGCACCGACTTTGTGGCCTAGTTCCTTGTTGTGTAAAATAGGTTGTTGAACAGCAGGGGGCACTGTTTCTCCTCAGTAGGGAGCCAAAACACTGCGGGAGTCATGGTGTGCGTCTTTGTGAGAGAGTCGAAAGCTTCAGTGGTGTTGATTTTTTGTTAATAAAACATATTTTCTCTCTTATTGTTGCACAGAAATCGACTTGGAGTATTCAGGGGTATGCTTGAAATTATTAATGGGCAAAAAAATCAACTGAAATGTGCTTAGTGTTCCTTTACTGAATAAATAAGAGTGCTGCAAGCTTATTTTAGGTGGAGATCATGAGCCTCATGCCAAGTTGTTTCATGCCCACGATTTCTTTGAACCAGACTTGACACTAAGGCAATGCGAGTCTAATGTGGAAACTCTGAAAATAGACATTACTGATAGTTTTTTTCAGATGTAAAGATGTAAAGTGATACAACACTGGCACCATATGACACTGTCTACAATAAGATCTATAATACCTGGATATTAATGGTAAAAACTCAACTGAAATGTAACTGAAATGTGCTTAGTATTCCCTTAATGAATACATATAATAATAATAATAAATAGATAACATTACTTTTAATTATATATATATATATATAACAATAATAAAAATTATATGTTAGACATATCGAATCATAAAGATAAAAAATCTATTGTTCTCTGTGTTTTTATAACCCACTGGTGTGTCATGGGGGAAATCAAATAGAATGATCAAATTTAAATATATATATATATCTGAAGACGATGTGCTCAAGGATGCTAGTAGTGAAGGTAACCATAGAAGCTAAAATAAGGGTTGCATGTTCAGTCCCAGTCAGTGAAGTGTTGAGGTACTGAGTTTACTGTCCTGCTCAATTATTATTGTGCCCTTGAGCAAAACACTTCACCCCAGATCCCACAGGCATTGTGCTCAATTAGAGCACTGTAAACCACTCTACATAAAAGCATCTGCTTAAATGCCAAATATCTATTTGGAATAATGAACTGCTTCCCAAATGCAAATAAGAGCTTGTTTTTTCAATGCAAGTACAAACTCTTAGTATAATTAACCATATAACATGTTTAGTGCATGTGTTGTTGAAGAGCGAGAAGCGTGCCTTACAACGCTGATAACCCCACTTTAAAGCAATTGTGTCTGATCAATAAATACATGAGGATGTGCAGCGTTCAGTGTCTTCCAGTGGTTAATTGGCTCCAGTGGATCCAATTTACCAGTGGCACTTTCTAATGATAAGCAACTACCTAATAGAACGGGCCAAACTTAACAGTCGTTTCATATTCAGGAGCAACGCCTTTTAAATTCCAATTCATCACCATCGATTACACTAATGACAGTATAAAGATTCCTATGCACACGGTGGGGTTGTCATGACCCTATGCGCTTTTATTTAAACTAGAGTGTTTTTTTTTTCTTTTTCATGAGTGAGATGACTGAAGAATCCATTGTTTTTGACTCCACTGCACGTTCATATCAATGTGTCCGTTGCTCTATATAGAGTCTATTTCAATATGACTCTCGCATCGGCTGGTGCAGTGACATCAGAAAATGGAAAGAATTTCTTTTCCAACACCCTGGAATGGAGCAATGCTGTTCTGACAGCTTAATGTATGGCATTTAAAGGCATTTCACAAAATCACTTCTACCCTCCGCACTGCGTGTCATGCAGGATGACAGCAAAGTAGGGGTCACTGTCACTTTAAAGATGTATCGGGATGCATTTGCATACACATTTAAAATAAAGTGCACTGAGTGTTAGAAACGCCCTGTGATATAATGCTGGCCTTGACTATATTTTTTAATCTCTTCAAATTAACATGATCTAGTTCTTGCAGTACTTGACTCGCAGTCAAGACGTGAATAACATATCGAAACTGGACAGCAGCCAATGGTAGATTATCTTGCTCTGTGCAATCTTTGAGGTTATATATGGTGATTAGAGTTATAACAGCCTACATCTGAGGTAACTTTTTACCTCTTGATTAGCTCAGCTGGAATGGTGTTATACTGTTAAAAACTGTGTTCTCGTGTGTTTATAGAGTCTAATGTGAGGTCACAGAAAGGAAGCGCTCCGTCCTTATGGAATTGGTGCTGCCAACCCAATCAGCTTTATTTAAATTAAATCTAAGGCCAAATAAACATTCTGAACAAGACTACACTTGCTAGACCTGCCCATATGATTAACAGCTGTGCAGAGGTGAATAGCAGCAAATAAACACAAAGTGCGGACCTACTGTGTGTGTGTGTAGGCCTACCGACAAAATGAATGCATATTCTAGCTCATGCACACATCAGTATTAAAAGTGGTAACACCTATGTAACACCTGAACAGAATACAGCAAATTGCCACCCAGATTTCAAACACTGGTCAATCAAATGTTTTTGGCTGCTAGCAATATTTGTCTACTACTTTGGCCTGTCTTTTCGTATCAGTGCAAGTTGTTATAGCTGATTAGTGCCAACTTGTAACCCAAAAAGTTGGTACAACTACACGGTTTCTGAGGGTCTTAAAAAGGCTTAAATTTGCCTTCATAAAACCAGAAGAAACCCTAAACTAGCTGACTGACACAAATATATTAATTTAACCACAGTATTAACCACAGTATAAATTTTAATAAAGCATAACACCTTTAATAGTTGGACAGAAGCTCAGGAGTCTCCAGTTATAGCAAGAAAATGAAAACATCCTTCGTAAGGACCAGTATGAGAAATGAAAGAACTCGATGACAGAGATCTTAAAATAGAGTAAGAGCTTGGAATGCAGATTAGCTAACAGCAATTTATGAATTAATATTGTTCCATTTGTCTCGTTGCTTGCTGGGCTCATAGTTTTAAATGTAGCAACAGACTATTTTTTCTTAAGTTTATTTTTTGAAACATTAAGACAATTAACAAGTAAGATCAAATAAATTTCTCATGTCCATGTATTTATTTATTTGGTAAGTCGCTGTCTAATAGGCAGGCTACTTTTCAGTCAGACAGTCAGTCATTATCACTAAATAAACCAAGACCTGCTTCACAATGAGGACCTCGTCTCCCTGTCTAGGTTTATTTGGCAGTATAACCAGCTGTACATCATCCCTTATATATCTAATGCATTACAACATAAGCTATAAAAATAAAAGATTGATAATTGATGCGCTGATCCTTTGGAAAGACCTTCAATGACATTCTACAGAAAGCATGTTTTAATGACCACAATTTGTTCGTCTCAACATGTAAAAATAGATGCAAAGTCACATGTAAATATGATGTCAGTGGTTATTTTTTACATTTAGATTGGTTGTTGAATGACATTTATAGCCTGTATCATCTACTGCATTAATACACTGACTCTATTAAACAAAATCTGCCATTTTTTCCTACAAGTACTTTAACAAAAGATCAAATGCGTAGTTTTAAGACCCAGGCTTTCAGATGGAGGGCAATAAGGCTATCGAACCTCGACCCTGTGCGAATGTTGACTGTAAGAGGGCCACGCTGCCAACTGCCCCATTCCTTACACAACACGCCAACACGACTCAAAGCACATTTCCGCTCACTCACATATGAACACACACATGTTCTAGCATTAACTTCTGTGGCCAACGGCATTGTGAGTATTCTGCAGACTGACAGGTCAACGTCGAGTGCCACTGGCTGCGTGACAGAAAGAGGAAAAAAGCAAGAGGAGAAAAAAGAAGAAAGGCATTGTGCAGAGAGCAATGGCCGCAATTCAGAACCCACGCAGCATGAGGACAATTATCCCCATTTTTCAGTCCACCCCCTCCTCCCTCTGCTAAGTCTCCTCCAGCTAGAAAGAGCACAGGAGGAAAGCGCCAGAACGGTCTGTGTGACACCTGCATCTATTACCCTACTGCAGTTCTGCTCGGTGAGACGACTAGTACTGCGCTCGCAACAACACGACTGGAGCTGCAGCGCTGCTGTTTGCATAAACCCCCGAGTGTGTAATGCTATCAAGTTGTTTTTGCCAAACGCTTGGCTAGAAATTACTAAAAGTGCTCAAATCTAGCCACTCAAGATGTGCACGTGACTGAAAGATGAAAACAGGATGGATTTGGCTGCACTGGCCACATGGCACGTCTCGTTCCCTTTCATCCGCACACCTTCTGGGAAATGGTAAAAGTGAGAAAGCGAGGGCATGGAAGGCTGAGGAGAAAATACAGGTATTTTACCCCTCCCTCCTGCTGAGGCTTGTCATCATAAACACAGAACAGGTGTCAGTTCACACCTGTTGCCTGTGTGCAGTATGCTCCCAGAGCCAAACTCTACCAGCCCTACTGGAATGCCAAATTGATTAGTATTTCATGCTCGGTGACCGACCACAGGACTTTCTGTATTCTGCACAGTGCCTCGGCGATGCCCTGTGGGCAGCACGCAGTGATGGTTACCGTGTAGGGAGGATGTGAATAACGTTCAGTGCACCTGCAAAGACATAAGCTCTGTTCCGAAACCTAGTAAGCTGTCTCACTAATGCCTATGTCATAAAGGACTGATTTGTTGTGCAAAATCAATGCGTCATACAAATAGCAGTCCTTAGTAGCGTAGCGCATTTCTCGGTTAATCCTAAGTGCTGCTTCCCTGCCATATGGCATTACGTTTTTTGGAATGAAGCAATAGCATTCTACATTTAGGGGATAATTCACACAAAAATGAAAATTCTGTCATAACCAAACAGCTGACGGAAGCCATTGACTTCCATAGTATTTTTGTTCCATACTATAGAAGTCAATGGCTTCCATCAACTGTTTGGTTACCAACATTCTTCAAAATATTGTGCTCAACAGAAGAAAGAAACTCATACAGGTTTGGAACAACTTGAGTAAATGATGATATAGAATTTTCTTTTTTGGGTGAACTATCCCTTTAAAGCAATGGTATGTAGTTGCAATTTTGTGTGCTTTTGTGACTTTGGAGCCCCCTACAGTTAAAGGGGTGATCGGATGCCAATTTTCCACAAGTTGATATGATTCTTTAGGGTCTCAATGAAAAGTCTGTAACATAGTTTGGTTAAAATTTCTCAATGGTAGTGTAAAACAACACCGTTTTTACCCCGTCAAAAACAGCTCTGAGCAAGCTGTTTTATTGCATGCCGCTTTAAATGCAAATTAGCTCTGCTCACCCCGCCACTCTCTTCCGAGCCGCTCTCTGAGAGAAGGTAAACTTTAGCCACATTCATCTTGAAACTTGCTAACTAGCACGT